ACCACAGTTTTTTCCTCACATGGAGCATTCTCTGAGAAAGAGCTGCTTAACTCACCGGGCAGGACTCGCACTCCACGCGCAGCTGCTTGAAGACCACCGCCTTGCAGCAGCTGCCCGAGGTGGACCAGGGGGGCCGGACGAACACCCACACAAACGGGTCGGCCGAGGCCCGCAGGCCCTCCGCCAGGCTGAAGAAGTGAGAGGCCTTGACCCCACACACCTCCGCGCGGCCCTCGTCGCTCGTCGACGCTGCCGGAGGGCAAAGAGAGACGTCAGCTCCTTCGCACGGACCCGCGTCTCCCAACACAACACGGCTGAACACCCTACTGCGAGGAGTGTGCACGCCGAGTGTTTGCGTCTGCCCTGTGACGGACTGACATCCTGTCCGGGATGTACCCTGCCTTACCCTGGGACAGGCTCTGGATAAAGCAGTTAGAAACTTAATTGATGGATTTTTTAACATCCTCAGCTCACAATTTGGGCGTTCAGCCAGCGCGTACAACAGTCAGGAATAACCAGTATTAACAACTTCTGAGTCACAAACCAATCAATGGAGCTACGTCGCGCTCACCGGGCTGTCCGAGTGGCTCAGATGGCGAAGCCTGGGCACGGGCTGAGCCCTGCGATCGCGACCGACCGCACGCCACCGCGGACAATACCCAGAACACAACTGGGCATTCCAAACTCTACGGACAAAAACGTGGCACCTAAAGGGGAACTGCAGTCCCAGTTTCTCAGACTGAGGCTGGCTATTAAATCTCGGTAACAAAAACATCCACTGCCGGTACAGAGAAATTCGACAGATTCTGAACGAAGCACAAAACCGTGCACTTTGTGAAAGTACCGCAGGTCATGTCGTCTCAAACCCCCGAACTCACCAGGGGGCGAGAGCGAGAGCCCGCAAGAACTGCGGCGTGACGCGGCCCTTCCAGCTCACTAGTCCCTGTAATGACGCGAGTAATGTGACTTATGAGTGCATAGTTACAGGTCGTGCCGCAGACATTCCACTGAGGAAATGTTCAAACGTGATCTGCATGCCGACGTAACAAGTCATGTTCGTCGGCAAAACCGTCTGGAAGGCGAGAGCAATACTTCCATTAGATGAAAAGAGATGTTTTCATAAACCTGCTTGGTTACAGTGTGAAAGGGCCACTTCGCATCACGGGAAGTATTGCTGCCTCTTTCTGAATCGCAGAATAAGGCGCTACGCACACCTGAAAATGTTAGTGAGGTAATTTGGAGGTCTTGCAAGTTACTGTGGACATTCTACTGTTATTGCGGTTTGAAATGCACTCATCAACGCCGGTTCTTTCTCACCCCGAAATCTAAAAACAGGGGTGCAACTCCCCTTTAAGAGCAAAAGCAAATGAGGGAAAAGGCCAGGGATAACAAGAAAGGGACTAATTAACTTACGCCCTTCGTTGTACAGGTAGGCTATACCCAGCTTCACTGCGGCTTCAAAATTCCCCCTTTCTGCAGCTCTGAGTGAAGAAAAAAAGAAAGCAGCCTGAGCAAAGGTTGTTTTTTTTAAACCCTGACCAGAAAGCCTAGAAACAACCACGCACAAAGCAAAATGACCACCTATAAACATTTACAATGACATGCTATAGTAAAAACAAGGTACTGAAACGGAGAGGTCAAACCTGAAAACTACGGATGTGGATCTCAGCCTTTACCTCTCAAAGAGCCAGAGATTGTCAGGCGTCGGCCAGGAATCTTTGAAACTGACCCTGGCCCACACGCTGGTGTAGCTGTCAATGAGATCGCGGAGCAGGGGGTGGACCTGGAAGGACAACCAGAAACAGGCTTTTACTCCGGCCCATCCATCGGGATGCTGTGCAATGACGGAGATCTGTCTCCTTCAAGAATGAATGCCAATGACTCTTGTCCTCAGATGCACTGTACATTAGATTAGATTAAAACGCCCCAAATAAACTTAACTCCTCACCTTAAGGCTAAGCCCCTACGACAAGCCTGCTGTTCGCGAATCACAAGACATTTGTCCCTAAACCAAACGTTCCAATGCCCCTTGGCGGTTTCAGATCTGAGCTTACAGATTTCACACGAGAAAGAGTGATTCGCCTGGGATCCCCCAGTACGAGCAAGAGGTAAGATTCAGGAGGCCTGACAGCATCATCTAAAACACAGCTGAGCTGCGCGTGTAGCACGGTATCTGTCACCACAATGGTGACTGAACTTCTCTACAAGGGACAAGTTCGATTACAGCTACTACTCATCAGCACACGAGCCCTCTAAATTGTCTGGCTATTGTCTTGCTCATTGATCTCATTATTCAGTACTGGAGGGAAAAAAAAGCCATCAGCCATTAACAGTAACAAAACGGCTTTCCATTTGGTTGTAGACACGGGACAGGAGTCCTTTCCCATTTCCATTCGGATACCTGGGAGGCTAACCTGGCT